TCTTATTTAATGAAGAAATTGAAGATTTTATTTGATTGAAAATAAGTCAATAAAGACCCTTGTGCAAAACATCAAGATCAAGATATTCTATTTGAAGAGAAGAATCAAATGATTAAATTTTTAGAGATTGTAATCCCCAAACTTTTATTAAATTTATAATTTGATACATAAATTTTCAATAAAAAGAATTTTTAATGTGTACACCTACATCTTAGCTGATTGTTATTCTTAATTTTTGATGACTAGAAAATTGAATGTCAATTGAAAAGTTAAGAATTTATGGAAACTAGAAGTTTACACACCAATTACATTCTCATTTCTCAATGGTTTTTTTAGCATTAAAAGTTTCATATTTACTTTTGGAAATAAATTCATGGAATAATTTGTGCTTTTCCTTTTTGAAGAATTTAAATCACATCTTGAATATCTTTCCTTAGCTAAAGATTGAAATTCTATTTTTGACTGTCACACCAATTGACACTTTCAATTTCAAGATTAAGATTTTATATTTATGGCAAAATTTTCTTATATAAAGATTTTCTAAATCAAGTATTTGAAACTATTATAAAGTTCCAAAACTTGATTTTAAATTCTAGAACATTGTTGCTCTTAGACCCCTCTCACAAATGCAGGAAAGTTAAGAAGTTCTAGAAAATATCAATAAGTTCCAAAACATTCAATAGAATCTTAAAATTAAAGAAAATCACGGACTTTCCATTCTAGGTTATAATGGTTGATTTGATTGGATTGAAAAGAGCTTACAACCTTGTTCTTTGTACTTCATCTTTGTTATTCAATTATCTTAGTGATCAAGAGTGCTTGTTACTCTTTCATTACAAGAGTGAGAGAGTGGTAAGAAAATCCTTATTAGATTTAGAAAACCTTCTTAGTGACTAAAAATGAGTTTAAAAGATATTGTAACACGAGAACAAGTTGTCAAGGGTAAGTAAAAACCTTGACAATGTATCTGATCGTGCTTGTTATTCTTTCATTACAAAAGTGAGAGAATGGTGAGGAAATCTTTGTTAAATTTGGAAAACCACCTTCCTAATAGTTAAGAATGGGTATAAAATAAATTATAATAAGGGAACAAATTGTTAAAAGGTGAATAGTACAAATAAAACTGTTATGTACGATTGCTTTTACATTTGCAAGTTGAAAGAAAACATTTAAATTTAAACTTAACTCTTAAACAGACACCTTCAGGAGTAGATTAGGCAAAATTTGTTATTGAATCATTGTAAATCATCTTATTTGATTTCTCTCTTTCCTTACTCTTTTAATTTATCCACTTTAGCTTAACCATTTGCGCTTGCATTTGCTTGCTTATCAATTTAATTACAAAATTACATAAATTTTTTAATATCTCAATTCACCTCTCGCTTGAGTTATCATTTTTTGGGCTAACACTAATTACCTGACAAAGAGGAGAAAATTAAAGGGAAATGACTTGTTACTTTTGCTTTTCATTTTTTATTCTTTTACATTAACTTATGTATTATATAATAACTTTTATTTTTTATTTTTTAGCATTAAGTTATAAATTATATAATAAAAAATAAAATTTTCTAAATTTTATTTATTTATTTTAAAATTTAAATTTAAAATCTTTATATCAAAATTTTAAATTCTTAATTATTTATGGCAAGTTCTTAAGAGGGGTGCTACTTGTGCTTTGTTTGGGTACCTTTTCAGTCAAAAGACAAGTCAGTACCTACTGCCACTTGCCTTGTCCTAGATTTGTTAATTTCAAATGGAAAAAAGATTTATGCAGTGCAATCTCCATTGAACTACGTATTTAAATTATTAAATAAAAAAATTAACTTTTAATGTTGACGTTCTCTTCTCATTTAATTATTTTTATTTTTAGTTTAGTTTAATTTAAATTATAAAAACAAGGAACTAATTGTATTCAAATTGATTTTGTTGTCTTTTGCTCTAACTACTTCAGATAAGTTGATAACTATGTAGTAAAAATCTTAATTTATATTAAAATTCAAATTTTTATAAAAATAGTTATAATATTTTTTTTCTCTAAAAATTCTCCTTCTTAAAAAAAAGTGTTTTGCTTTTCCAAAAAATTGTGTGATTCGTTGAGTTTCTTCAACTAATAATAAAAAAAAAAGTCAAGAATTCAAAAAACGGCAAAAAAAACATGCGAACTCAACAGGGTGAGGTGTAGTTATGATTGCCAATTCTTTGATTAAGGCCACTAAATTTATGTTAAAAAATTTTAATTATGTTTAATTTAATTATTAAAAATAATTAATAATTAATGAAAAATTAATATTT